ATATATATTTATATATATATAATTAAAATAAATTATATAGTTAATTAATTAAGATATAAAAAAATTAATTAATAATAAAAAAGAGGTTTTGGGTGAAGCGATTACTCTAAGGACAGGTATACCTTAATCTTCACATAAGTGAACAATGTCTCATCAATTAATTTCCAATAAAACAACTGTCGAAAGTTATGACAAGCCACATTTATCACGTGAGGACAAGTTACGCCATAAATCAATATCACGTTCAAATAACTAATGACATAATACTGTCGGTGGCGACATTCATCCCGCATTATCAGCAGTGAAATAATCTTCCAGGGGTCACTGGGTCATAACATACTTGGTCGAACGATATTCTATATGAAATGCTTATAAAAAAAACGACCACTCTCACTATCGGAATCATGTTGTAAAATTGTTTGACTACAAAGATAAGGATGAAACAAGTGATAATTCATATTGTTTGGGTGTTGTGGTTAATGATTAACACCATTCGGACTGACGGTAAGTTTGATTTTCAATGTAAATTTTCTATATGAATTACAAATTTTATACACACCTACAAGCATGTAATATATAAGAAGAATTGATAATGGTGCTTTTAAGTAAAATAGTAAATCTTACAAAAAAATGAATCTTTTATTAGGATTAAGAAAACATTAATGCAGCACGCAGAAACTCATAACATAAACATAACAGCACGCAAAAACTCATAAAAATTTCATAAAGTTTAAGTAAACAGCATTCATGTCAGGTATTGGTATTTTTTTTTATAAACTCATGCACTCATGCTGAATCTCAATGACAATTTCATTGTGCTCATATATGCATCATTCATACTAAATTTTAATGACATTTTCATAAAGTTCTAGTATAAATGCCGAAATATAAACGATTCATTACGAGAACTATGAAATCTAATTATTTTTTATCACTGAATAATTTGTTACCTAAAAGTGTCATGATCAATGGAAAATTATTTGAAATAAAAATGGATTTTTATTATGTGTGATCTTGGACAGAAATAAAAGTAAAACAATATAGGGGAGAAGAAATGTATTAAGATATAATACTATAATAGTTGATTTATTTTTTTGAGATTTTTCCTAACTTTCAAGTTTTAATTTTTATTTTGAAAAAACTATGACGTGACGTTTTTCCATATTATACCATACTAAATTTTACAATTCTGGAAAAAAATTAATTTTTTTGCTTAATTCCAGAGATTAGGTTTCCTAGTGGATTAAGGCAATTATTTTTTAATTAGTATGATTTAATTTTTTCAATCCTAATCAAATTACGGGAAACCCTTAAGTAAATCATCAAGATCAATTCAATTCACTGAGGGATATTTTCCTTTCACATATGTCAAACAAGTGCAGTTCTATTTCTTTCAAAAGAAACTACCTGAAATTAAATTTGTTTTGATATTTTCTATTTCAAAATTACTACCGTACCACTATTTTTCTTTGTATTTAAATTGATATATACGGAGCAAAAAATAATTTATTCGAAAATTTTAAGAAGACAAACTTTCTGAAGAGAAATGTGAAAGAAATATTTCAATATTTTTTATAAGTAATTGTACTTTTACATTTTAAATATTTTTTAAGTAACATACTATATTTCCAAAGTAATGAATTACATGGTATTTATATATTAAAGTTAACAAGAAAAAAAAATATGTTGAAAGATTATAAGAAAAAAAAACTTTAATGTAAAGAACCGCGAAAAAATGTATGTAAAGATAAAAAACTGATTTCTTTTATTTAAAACTTTTACAGCAACGGAACTTTTTATATATTCTAGAAAAAATGTTGCATTTCAAAAAACCACGAAATGCGTATTTTTTAAAAGTACTTTTTCTAATTGCTGCAAAAATATAAGCATTCTTCTTTACGTTCTATTTGCTTCTGAAATATATTTTTTGACAGTTCAAGACGAGTTAAATTTGAAGTTCTATATGAAAATAAATAATTTTAGGTTTTAAATGTGGCGTCCAAAAGGTGAGGGATGGACGCATAGTTGGTGGTGATGATGCATTTGATGGAGAATTTCCATTCATGGTAAGAAATACTTTCATACTTTTTTTCTTAATTACTTGAAAATATATACTTCTAACATCTTTTGCAATAGAACATCTTTTGCAATACTTCTAACATCTTTTGCATCCCCAAAAGCTGATTATTTTTTATCTCTGCTTTGCTAGAGTTGTTGTTTAATAATATTTCAGCAGTTAATAGTCAACTGCTCAATTTGTAATAAATTATGTGATTGTCACTAGACTTTCGTCTTGAGCTTTTATCAACCGTTACAGCCAGATACAGATTAGACAAGGAAAGCGTCGGAAGTGAATTTACTTCCCAATTACAGTTCAGTCAATGCATAAGGTTGATATAGGAGGAGTTTTTTCTGTTATGTTTCAGTCGAGTAACGTAACTGTTACAATTGTTTCAGATATTTAAGTTATTAAGCAATTGTTTCTGATATTAAGTTATTCTGATATTAAGTAAGTAGACATCAGTTATTCTACAAACATTTTTTTGTTGCATGAGATTCTTTAACAAACCTTAGATACCTTCGTATTACTGATTTCTAATCTGTAATCTAATTACTCTCTTCTAAATACAGTTCTTTTTTTAAATGGTGTTTTTATTTCATATCATGTCGAAATGTTCAACCTTAAAAACGCTATATATAACAAGGGATCACGTGAATATTGCAACAAACTTCCAGAGGAGTTAGAGTACATCATCAAGATTAAAATACTATAAGAACATATACCTGGTAATTTCAACTTATGGCGTTAGGAGCGTTTTCTCAACACAAACTATTTTCTCGTGAGCTTCTGAACAGGTCATAATAGGAAAGCGCTCCTAGCCGAGCACGGCAACTTTTCCAGGCATGGGTTCCCGTGCAATTTTAATTTTTGATGTCGAACCCTAGCTTCAATAGAAGTTTGTCACAACATTTACGTGACCCCCTCTTATATATAACGTTTATAAACTTGTAAATTTCAACAAAAAGTCTAAAAGTGTCATTAAAAAAAATCCGTATCATTAAGAGCAAAACTAATTTCAGATTTAAAATACCCACATCCGAATTAAGAAAGATCGAACAGGTGCATTAAGGCAAAAAAGAAGTTGTTCCGAAGCTGTTTAATATGCAGATTTTTAATTAATTTAAAAAAAAAACAGGATTCTAATAATAAAAACCAAAATATATGATAAAAGTTTATTCCTTTCATATGGTAATAATTTCCTTGAAATTCGTGTTTTCAAAGCAATAGTTCTTATCACCATGCATTTAGCAGAAAATACAAAACTGAAAATTAAATTCAACCGAATAAATGGTTTTCATGCCTTGCTCCAAGGTATCATGGTGAAATGAATTACCAAATTTTACAACATTAAAAAAATTTTATCACATATTATAAAGCCATATTTTATTGTTCATTTTACCGAAGAGATTCGGTAAAAATCACCAGACTTTTTGATATTCCCATCGAGCTAGAAACACGATGAAATTTACCGTATTTTAGTAGTTTAGACCATACCTCTTTCTTAGTGTGCCAAAAATTGCATCATTTCTCAAATTATTTAGGTAATGTTAGCTGCTGAATTATTTAGGTATATTAGTAAGCTGCCTAGATAGTCTGAGCATTACTGCATACTCAGCACTCGTTAAAGTACAAATGATATTTTTGCCGAAAGTTAAATCGAGCAATCGAACAATCATGAGATTAGTTGATACAATAAATCATCACTTTAATAATTATTATACAAAGAAAAAAAACGGTTTGAAATACTATTACAATTAAGGAATAGAACATATTATAATTTTTTTATTTTTCAACATCTAATGAATCTAGTTAATACAATCGCCTTATTAGCCGGTAGAACAACGGAAACAAACCTTGAAACCTTTGAACTACCTTTGAAACCTTTGAACAGAAGCTGCTACTGAGCACATTACCTAGGTAAATTGCGGAAAAACTTGATTCAGCACTTTATCGAATTACCCAAGTTAATCAACATATTATCTAGATTAATGTGTACGATTACGACTTTGATGGTAACTTCTAACGGTTATATATATATATATATATATGTATATGTGTGTGTGTGTGTGTGTATNATATATATATATATCCTAATACAGGACAAGCATTTAAGTAGAAAAAAAGACAAAGTATAGATAAAATATGCCGAATAACTGACTGTTACTTAGTAGCGCATATTTTTGCTTCTTTACACTTTTGACTTGCTTCTCAAAATGTAATGACTAATGCATTGAAGTAATTTAAGGTTGGACTCGCTGTGTAAACATTTTACATGATTGCTGTAAAATAATAAAGAGCTATTTAGAAAATATAATTCAGCACTATGTAAAAATTGAAATTAAGCCTTATTATTTTATAGCATTTCAAAGATATTAAGTAAGTATTCTAAATAGTAAAATTATTGTTCCATAGAATTAGCTAATGGCTTTTAATCCTGTTTGGCCTTACGAGATTTGAGATAGACATTATTAGGGATTAATTAATGCTTTAGAGATAATCAAAATCATTTATGTATTGAGTAAACACAAGCTGAAGTTTCCTAGAATCGTTGGTACGAACTACTTGGAAAACGGATTAACAGTGGAAACTATTTCATGCCTCTTTCAACTTAGTAGAAAACAATAGTCTTTTGCGTTACTACATGGAGACAAAAATAATAAAATTACTGTACTGTAAATTTCTGGAAAAAAAACTATAATTCTGGCTTTCTAAAACCAAAATATACTGTATTTGAACCAGTCATAATTATTATTATAATTTTTTTATTCATTATGGTAACGGTTTACCAGAAATTCTGATTTTCAAAATTATAGTTCGAACTATCACACCTTTAGTAAAAAACACTTAAATGAAAACTAAATTAAGCCGAAAAAATAGCTCTTAGATACTATTAAATTATAAACAAGTATTTTGGTTAAAATTACCAGGTATTTTGGTGTTCCTATAGAGCCAAGAACACTGTAAATTTTCCTACACTCTGGTAATTTTAACCCTACTTTCTTTCTCAGTGTATTAACAAGTAAAAGAAATAATTTTGAGTGTTTTTTGAGTGGATTGAGATCTTATTTTGGTGAAATGAGAATTTTCGAAAACTGATAGTTCATTGTTAAACTAATGTTAATAAAAATATTATAAATAACACTTCGAAAAAGATATCGAGTTTTATTGCAATTAAAAATGAAATTTTAAAAAAATTCGGTTTTGAAAAAAGACTTTTGTAAATTGTTTTAAACTAATTTAGGAAAAAAGTCATTTATTGAAAGCGGAGAAACAAAATCCGCCTTGGTTACGATTTTACTTTAAAATACGTGAACTTTTATTTAAATCGCAAAATGTCGATATTTTTATTGTATGATTAAATCGATACAGAATAATCTTTGAAATGCGTTATTCTTGTTTCCACAACGGCTATTAGGCTTTGTGGCTTGGGGATTTCTTTTTTTGGCAAACTATAAATTGTCCTAGTGTCGTAAATTTTGAGTTAATTTGTAGAATAAAACCTTCTAAGGACATTAAACAATGGCAAGGTTTATAAAAACTAAATATCATGATAAAAATAAAATAGTGCAGAAGATAATAACTCTCATTAGAACTTTCAAGTTACTTTTAAATCATCGTCTACACTCGTCTGAAGTCAAAAAAATAATTATTAAATTTCATTCAAAAATAAAATTCATTCATTATGTTACATTCAAAAGTAAATTAATTATTTTCAATAAAAATAGTTATCTTCAGTTTTAACTTCCAAAATAGAAAATACAGACAGTCAATTTGTAATAAAACTTTTTGTGACACTTGAAGAGCGGTAGTATGGAAGATGACACTTTCTGTCGTGGAATGTTTTCATTTTCTAACTACGCTAGTTTTCGATTTCTTAGATGATTGAGTACCTGGAATTTGAGAGACTCATCTGTTAAGAGAAAAGGCGATATTGATCACGGGGAGAAGATGATATTGCCCAAGAGAAACCTGAACATTTATTCTATATTTGGACGACAGCGAGCCGAATACTTTATCAATATATAAGAAATATTTTTGAAGAAGTAAAAACATATATAACATGTATCAGTTTCTGTGAAACATGATACTCTGTATTACATCAAAACTTCTTCAATCAATTGAAGTCAACCATTTAAACTATTTAAAACGAGATAGTTCGAAATATATTTAATTTCATTATTCTTATAATAATCAATAATCTATTAATAACCACAGTATTTGCCTGCGCCATAAGGAATCATCACTTTTTAAAGTTTCTTAAATTATCATTTTTAGGAACGTTATTTAAATAATTTCTAATAATTTATTACTTCTTTTTGATGATTCAAGAGAATAAAAAATATAAATTTGTATTTGATTGAATGGTTTATACTAATGGAGTTAAAATTACTTGCTTCAATTATATAAGTCTGAACAAAACCCGAATAATGAAATATATCGGAGATAGTCAACACTTAAACACTTCAAAAAAAGAAAGAGAAATACTTTCTGCTATGTAGACCTATGTAGACTGAAGCAAAAATCAATGTGAATAAAGCACAAATGAAAGTACATAAATTTATAGTACTAGTATACTAAACCAACATACTGAATTTTATTTTATTTTTTTTATTTTGACATTTAGACACTGAGAAAGGTTTCTGTTTATAGAACTGAAACTATAGTATGTCAATTTATGTACGTTAAATAAATACTTATGCCTTATATATTAATCTATTATATTATTTATTTAATATTTTATTTACGATGTTTTTGGCTTTGGTTCACTAAATCACTTTTGAAAAAATTAATGTTTGGTTTTCATTCAGAATTTCGTCTAGTTTTCATTTAATTGTTGCATAGCTACATTGTTTTAGCATTTAAAAGCTTAGCTTACAGGGTAAAAAACTTGTCATTGCGAGAGAAATTAAGAAAAGCATCCTTTAAAAGAGGTGGGTTTGTAATGTTTTGGGGGTGTTTTTTTTTATATTCATTATGGATAAGAACCACTCCCTAAGGGAACAC